CGCCGCTCGATTGAATCATCCATCGTTTAAGCCAGTTCAAATTTTTAAGTCTACAGTCTCGTAATACTTCTCCGAAAAAATTACGATAAACTACTGGGTTTGTAGGTGTAAAAGACTAACGTGACGTACAGGATCCTCCGGTTCCGGCGGAGGATTCAGAATAAAGAATTCAGAGTGATAAAATCCAACGCAGAAAATGTGTTGGACACTGGACAGAGAGCTCTCTTATCGGGCTGCACGGCCCACAAACAAATAAACAAAGAAGGGGGGTGATCGCCGGTGCCGGAAAAAGAGAAGAGAACTCGGGTGAAGGGAGAAGAACGAGGGGTCAGGGGACCGGCTGTTCAAGCACGCGGGAATGTGAGGTGTGGAAATGAGGGTTTTGAGATTTGAATTCGATTTTGGGATAGTTTTGGGGCTAACGGCCGTCCCGTTAGCCCCGCATGCGGGACAAGCTAACTGCGTGCGAAGGGACAGATGGCGAACGTTCGACGTGTGGGGCATTTGTGGGGCGCAGATTTGAACTCGGGAGGAGGAGCACAGTATTGTGATTGTGATTGTGGTTGGGTGAGTTGTTTGTGTTTGTATGTTTTCCATCCTAATCTATTGACTGCTGACACTTGTTGGTTATTCATTGTCAGAGCAAGTTAGGTAGGGGCGACGTATGAAAATCAAAGTGATGGAAGCAAGGAAGAGGTGCAGGGTGTCATTATTAATTATCTATTTTATTAGGTTGGCTTTGGCGGACTTCATGCCTTGCCGACCACTACGGACAAGTCTCTGGACCGCCCCCTGTTTTTTAGTTTTTACATACATAACATAGATAGAGGAGAGGATTCAGCCTTGGGCATGGTAGTTTGTACCCGACATCCGTATCTAATTAGATGCATGTAAATGTACAGCAGGCAGCAGCCCCTTATTCGTATCGACTATCGACTATCGACTAGGCTGCTAACGGATCAGATCTACATCTACCTCCAAATTTTATTCCTTCATCATATTTGATCAGAGAGTATATGGGCGGGTCATGGGATGAAATTGGGGTAGATATGATCCACATTTGAACTAAATAACATATATATAAACGTTGCATCCTAATTATCTTCGTCGTGTTGTCTCAAACATCATTCATCTCTTCTTGTCTGCTTCCGCTTTCCCAAAGGCGTTTGCTAGCTTTTATTTTAAAAAATAATAATAAAGTTGAAGAACAAAAGTTAGGCACTGCCCAGTTCCCACAGATCCAGACTAGCACCCGCACAATGATAGCTGCACATTATTAGGAATATTTCTCATATTTTGTATATTTTCACTCAACAAGTATTATATTTATATATGACTTATTAGATGATGAGTGTGAGGACCATTTTGTGAGTAGCTAGCAAGATTCTTTATTCTTTACATGACAAAAATGAGCACGTGAATAACTTTGTGTCAGTAAATTAACCATTTTGTGAGTAGCACCCGCACAAAAATGACCATTTTGAACGCTTTTATTGTCAGTAAATTAACCAACGAGCACCGATATCTGTCCAATTAAATCAAAATTAATTTGGATGGATTGCACGGACCAATAAAACATTGAATTTGATCAGTCTAAACGTAATAATAGTTCAAAGTATTTATTGGATTGGACCTGGTCCATCCGTAATGGATTTATACTGAATTGGATTGGATTGGATTGAGCCAATCTTCGGTCCATTGATTGAAGATAAGAATACAGATGTCAATGGATCAAGTTTGGGTTGGAACCATTCTAAATTTAAACCAATTTGAATAAATTGGACAGTCCAAACATCGAACTGAACTGGCCCAAAATAATCCAGAATATTCATCCAATTGGATTGGACCTGATCCATCTATAATAAACTCTCAACCTTTCATTTCTCTCTTATTTTCTGAGAGACAAAACATAGCCCTAAACTTGAGTCTTCAACACCTTGGGCTTTGAGAAATCTATCGATTAGAAAAGGATATACATGGTTGAAATACTTACAAAACACTTTCTGGATCTGTACTTGAATGAACCCAAATATTGACGAGGCTCAAGCCCAACTGGGATTTTTCTTATATTTTCAAAGTCATTTCTTTGCTTGTATTCTTTTTTGGTCTTCATATTACACAATCAAACCATTTCTTAGCTTTGAGGTTATCCTAGTTTTCTTTGGAGTCTATATTGCTTTCTTTCTTCCAGCTAGAGTAAATTTTGGGTACAGATAAATAATAGTGGTGTTTGTTTATAAACAAATCTGTTCTTTGATCTAGTCTTGCTATTTTCATCCTTGTCCTATATACTTAATCAAATATAATTTCTTAAATACATTATATTTTTGTACTATATATATGGCAAGCATTCATACAGCTGGATTTAAACGTTTTCAAGTTTGGTGCAAATTTTGAATTATCAAATATTAATGCTTGTATTCATATATTTAAAGCTCAAATATCAATCTTTTCTATTTCAAAAAAAAAAAAAGCTCAAATATCAAATGGTTATTTTATAATATTTCATCTATTAAATTATTTATCAGTTTGATAATGTTGGAAGTCAGGCTTCCGATATGGGCCTTACAAGCAAAATCTTTTAAATGGGCCTACGGAGCTGGGTCTATAACGAGCCAAGACTGTCATTCTTGACGGGGCCCAGGTTTAGTAACTAGTATGGGCCTGAACTAAGGCTGAGCCCAATTCAAGGGTCACGACTAGAACATGCTTATAGGCCCGCGGGCTTAAATTCGGGCTAAAAAGTCTGATCTCAATAAATTCGAGCTGGGCTCGGGTTTTGTCAAAATAGCCCGGCGCGAGCCCGGCCCGGCCCGACCTAATATTAAACTTAAAATTAGTTATGTGATTATGTCCATTTGAATAAATTTTTTGATTTAAGAATGTAAAATTGTGTTTTAAAATATAAAAGAAAGGGAAAAATACCATATTGTAGGCCCATTGTTCATTTAAATAGAAAAAAAAACTATCTGAATTTTTAATTCTAATTTGAATAGGGAAAATTGTTTTTTTTTTTCAATTGGGTTGGGCTTCGGTCTCGGGCTCGGGTTTCGGGCTTTTTACTAGGGCCGGGCTCGGGCCCAAGTTATAGGCCTGTTGGTCGGGCCGGGCTTGGGCTTGGGCCTAGTATATTTTCATTAGTGACAAGTGAAAGCCCGGCCCGGCCCGGCCCATGAACAGGTCTAGTCACGACTCACGGCAACAGGATAATTTGGATAAGGTGCTTTTGGTTATGTGGGCATTTATTGACAAATTCAGATTAACTGAACGCTTTAGCTGTTTTGTAGGCTGTGGAACCATTGATGAAGTTCCACGCCAGTAATAAATTCATAGGCCCCATTGTAAAAGATGTGGGCCCCATGTATTTAATACTGGTGTGGAACCTTATCATTGGTTCCACAGCCCTCTGAATAGCTAAAGCTTCAACTAAATCTTGCTCTTTTATTGATGGGTGTTTATCAGTATCAAATAAGTATTTATTTGAAAATTGCTACTTTAAACATTTATTGTTTTTTTTATTTGTTTGGGCTAATGTTTTAAAAACCGACTTGGAGACCGAACTTTTTTTGCCTCTAGGCCGCGGGTCACCAGTTCGACTGTCTGCGTCAAACGGGTCAGACTGCCCCATACTTGTATTTAAAGTATATATGTGTGTGTGTATAAATATATATTTTTATCAACAATAATGTATAAATATGTTTTAGATATGTTATATGTATTTTTGTATTTAATTTTTTTTATTTATAAAAAATATTAAAAATTACAATTTGAGGCCAAAAAATGGGGTTTTTCACAAAAATAGTGGGGCAAGGCACCTACAGCCCCTTGGGACACATAGGTCTCAAAAAGTTACCTAAAATAAAAAAAAAAATCACCTCAATCGGATATCAGAGTGCAAAGTTATGGTCTTCGAAAGTTTGCATGCATTGAGTTGTGCATCCTGCGACCCGGTCACCAGGTCAAACGGGTCAAAAGTTGAACTAGTTGAGTTGAACGATTCTTGGCTAAGTCAAAGGTTTTTGACCATCTGGCAGGTCTTGACTAAACCAGATCTAAAATCCTGACTGAGTGATGGTTCGAATGGTTCAAATGATTCAACCAACCAGATCAATGGCAGGTTGAAAACACTGGGTTAGGCCTTTTATGGGTGTTTCAAGTAACACCCTAAAATTGCTTTCTAACTCAGCTTAGCATTTGTTTCCCCCCCTAGTGCTTGGGAGTGAAAACCTAGTTCCAATTGAGAAGGTGAAGAGGCTTTTTCTTGTCTAGCTCATCAATAACACCTTTAAGAATTTTAAAAACACTCATTGTATATTAAGGGATCATACTAGTAGATGCTTTTACGAGGATGGCTTTGCTTGCAAGTCTTTTTCCAACCCACTAGTTTGTTACTAATTT